ACCAGAAAAATGATGAGAACATTTATTTCCTCATTGCAAATGCAATATGAAAATCTGCAATGGAATTTTTAAGAATATATTCCAAATATGACTGTGGCAAAATTTTATTTTCCACATTGAGAGTTGCAATATTTGGTAGGAAAATAATAATTACTGAAAACCAATTCCGAAATATATTCTTGATGGTTTTTCATTGCCAATTTTAATTTTTCAATTTTCTCTTATAAATTAAAAACTAAAAATTTCCGCCAATTCTGGCAGGTCAGCCATTTTTATTCGACTGGCACGTCACTCTACGTGACTGGCGGGGAATATCGTCACTACTGGGACTTATTCGCACTCAATGGTTCGCTAATTGGGTACCCATTAGGATGAGAGGATTATACCGACCCTTGTAACAGACTGGCTCCCGATTACCTAAAGGTGGCCGGGTCCTGGTCTATTGGTCCCTTCATCGACCAAGTAATAGGTCAAGGTAAATTTGAGTGATCGGGTTCTGTAATTTTGACTACTATGTGGTTTTTTGTTTACAATTATTTATCAACGCTTTAATTCCCTAAATGTGCAAGTGTTTATAATTCCCGGAAAGTCGAGACTGATTTCTCATTCATTTAATGCGCAACTGAAGGTCATAATCATAAGAAAAATGCGTATGAGCATCAGCGAATTCTTATCCGTTCGGGCACTGGTATCTCTACGGTACTGATTTCTACACGGCTTATAGCAACAAAATGGAAGGTCATGAGGTTTTGTACAGGGGATGATTTATATTTTCATCGCTTTGCAGGTAAGCCTATGTCAGCAGTATATGATTAAATTTCACATGATGCATACGACTGACGAATGTGAATTCCGGAGTTATAATCTTCATTGTGGTCTTACCCTATTTTCAATGTGTTGAACTTTCATTACTTTGCTGTTGATTATCACGAATTTTTCTGAGGAATAGTGGTTGGATTTTTAACCAATTTCAAAATACAGAGATATCAACTAGGAAGCTCGCTGAACTTGCTCTATAATATAATCACGCTTCCAATGTTCACAAAGTCAATGATAAATGGAAGATATTTCGAAATATATAAAGGGTCGAAGTCCTTGCGATCCTCTAGTATCTGAATCTGGAATCAGTTATAATCAACCTGGCTGATTCACTGCAGGCTTGAATACGTGGGGATTAATATTGATTACCAGTATGCACAGCCCCGTAGTGATGAATCCTGCATCATAATCAAAATGATAACTCTTCTCGAATTCGGCAGACGGTGTGAAATAATTCGAGACTGCTATTCCAAGAGGAGTTTCGTACAAAGGTACAATTATGAAATAATCGAGAGTGTACCAACATTATTATGTATCATAATCACTTGAGGTATTCGGGAGACCAACAACCTAACTATGGAATCAACTATTGCGAGTATGCTATAAGGAGTCATCTTTAAGGGGTAGAAGTACGCAAACTTCATTATATTATTTTGGTCATTGGGCTTATGTATTGAAGTTTATGAATATTAAAGTTTACTTATTTACCAAGTTATCTCTTTTAAAAAATTTATCTGATACAAATTCTGAAAGATGAGTATAGATACGCAAAGCCCTTTCAAGCAGATAAGTATGCACTGAAGATTATTTTCGCAGTTTCAGCAAGGTTTCTTGTTGGCGTCATTAGGATTTTTATGGATCTCCAGGCATTCTTGCTGGTTTCTTTCGAAATATGCTGAGCTTTGGTCAGCGCTTTGCCACATGAACAGAGGATCTCGTACACTCCTGGTGTGCTCAGTAGTGGTGTTGAATCCTTTGCATTTGGCAGTATTCGGTCGATCTTCTGTGGAGATTGGAACATGGTTCGAAGGCTGTGCTTGCCGATTACTTTGCTTATGCGGTTCGTTGTGCCTTTCAAATAGGGGAAAGAGGCCACTTTTGTTCTTTCCTGGTGTGCTTCAGGATTAGTCTATACTGGTGGAGATAGAAGCTTCCTCTCTAGTTTTTGTCGAATCTGATGGATGGTGTATATCCATTCTTGGTTAGAGCAGTCTCAAGATTTTCAACTTCACTGTAAACATCAGAGTGTTGGGATACTATCAGGGCTCTGCACATCAAGGAGCTGAACACAGCACTTCTGAGTAGGGTGGTAATGGGAAATGGCATTGAAGTACCCATCTGTGTGAGTTGGTTACGATATACTTGCTGACCTAAAGTTCTGTTTTCATTACGGCGAACCAGCACATCCAGGAATGGATACCTTCCCTCTTCGGTTTCCAGAGGGCAGGTTTGGCCAGATGACAAAGGTGTCGTTAGCATAGCTGAACCACTCAGAAGGTTTCAGCGGTGCTAACGTTAATACTTCCTCGAAATGTTTTATAAATATATTTGCAATAAACAGCTTACCACGATGTCATATCGAAAAGTCTTAAGATTTCGCATTTTATCGACTAAATCTAAGGAGTTCTGAATGTATGAACTAGTCAAACCAGTCAGTTTTTGGAGAGGAAATGATTCTGTGAGAGTGAGAGATTTGTTTGAGATTTGAAAAGTTTCTTGCTCAATTGCCCGAGTAGGATTTTTCCTGAGGTTTGAGTAAGCTCCGGAGTTTCGCAACATTGTATTGCACATTACCTTTGTCCGCTGGAAGAATAATCATATCATTCTTCTCTTCAAAAGTTCGCAGTGTCAGGCGCTCGTCCCCGGCGATATTGTCACTGGGAAGAACAGTTGTGTGGAGTATGTTGAATAACAGTCTGTAGATGCTATCACAAATATATTCATGGAACACTTCGAGAACGAAGTATTGACGTCAGGTATGTTGGTGACACCATTGTCATCTGGTCACATGAAAAGACAGCCCTTTGTCAATCTCTGGAATATTTTAATTTTCAACAGACGAGGATGAAGTTCACCATGGAAACCGAAGAGGAAAGGTATGGCCTACTTCTCGATGTCGTAGTTCGCTGTAACGAAGACAGAATTTTGGGCCACCAGGTATACCGCAAGACCACTCATACAAAAGTTACCTAAATGCCACTTTCCATCACCAGCCTGCTGAAAAGAACTCTGCGATCAACGTCTTGATGTACAACGCTTTCTTAATTTCCCAACCCTCTAATGTCGACAATGCAGTTGAATATTTTGAGACCGCTCTGACCAAGAATGGATGGTACATCCACCAAATTGGAAACGTCAAACAAAAACTACAGAGCTAATTCCTATCGCCCCCAGAGGGGCCGATTCTGAAGAAAACCTGAGAAAACCAAAAATGGACCTTCTCTCTTATTTGAAATGAACAACTGACCGCATATGCAGAGTACTCGCCAAGCACAACATTCGAACTACATCCCCACCTCCGAAGAAGATCCGACAAATGTTGCCAACTACAAAGGATGCAAGACCACTCGTGAGCACACCAAGAGTGTATGAGAGCCCCTGATTACATGGAAAAGTGTACATTGAAGAAACCGGGAGGATGATCAATGCCCGGATTAAGGGACATCAGTGGGGCTCCAATAGGACCACTTAGAAGAGTCTGCCCTGCTGACCACTGGATGAACACTGAACATACCATTCAGTAGGATTAGAATAGAATGTTGGTCAAATTAAAAAAAATATTCGAAAGAAAACAGGGAGAGGTCCTAGAGATCGATCAAAATGCTAACAACCTCAAGGAGGATAGAGGATATCAAGTGAACCCTATCTGTAAAGCCGTCCCCCTGGTGTTTTAATTGATCCCTTTAAAAAATCCAATGTAACGTGTTTTGAAACCGGTTGATACGATATATATATTGCCCCAGATTTTGGTTAATTGTGTTATTGTTAAATATTTGGATATCCAGCATTGTCAGCGTGACACATGCCAGCATAACTGGATTATGCTGACCAAGTAATGACACACAAACAATTATGTATTGAAGAGGCCGTTTGGGTATGCAGAAGGCAGATCCAAATCGGGCTCCGACATGTGTTAGTCGTAATCTTTGTAATCAGTCAGATGGCACAACTAAAGTAATAAACTCTCATATCTTAATACCTATAAACTATTGGTGGGATTTATCCCTTCGAGCCTAGACCCTACAATAAAAATACGTACCCCCCACGCCAGGTAGTACATATATTTATTTTATTTTTATTCTAAAATTGGTTCGTTTTTCTTTCGTGCTTTGGACCTTTTAATTTTATAATCTCTCTGATTATAGCTCAGAGTCTGAATCTGAATGTTTGAATTCCGATTCTTATATATCTATCGTTAAAAAATGAAATGAAAACTCATGTAGTAGCACCACAAAAGTAACAATACGCGCGCGTGAGATGCGGTGAACTCCCCACCCCCCCTTGCCCTTCGTGCACTTCTCGTATGTCTACCACAACCACTGTAGGAGAGGTCAAACGCACCATCTATCCGGAAGAATATTTTGTTCGTCCAGATTTTTTAAGGAATTACGCTCTCAGTGATTCAATGTAATAATCTCTAATTTAGAGAATTCACTTTGGACCAAGTGTATTATGAATAGGTAACATGACGCGCTCAATGTAAAAATGCCATTTTGACTACCTCTATTTTGCTTATCATCGGTTTCGCCTACCACTGTTGATAATTGACTTAACGTTTGTAAGGAAGTTTGAAAAATCAATATTTAATTATATCGATGGGTAAACTATGACTGTTTCCTTTGATGTCATTTGTGTTTTGTCGTTATTCAAGATTCCTTGTTTCATTTAATATATGTTGACATGTGTTCGAACCCGATAATATTACTTTCCCACAATTTCGCATTCTCGCCCTTCTTATTATAATTATTAAAAAAATTTCGTTCATTTTATATTCACTGTTGTGTGAAAGAAAGAGGAGAGTATGAATAAATTCAAGAAAAGAACCAGGGAAAAACAAAAATTGTTACAGTTATATTAATTTATAACAATAAGTGAACCGCAAACCGCCCGAAAGCAATACGAATCAATTGAAAGGGAATATTTAAACTTGCGAGAAAGGCAGACTAAAACTTCTGACTTACTTAAATATATTATCCAATGCTTCCACCCAAGCGTTCCATGTGGGTGTTCTACAAACCTTCCAAAATGGAATTTTCAATTCCAAGATTCCGACATTAGTAAAGACTGTGTGAATAGCAGTAATCAGCTTTTGGGTATCAACATTAGCACTTTCGTCCATACAACGAAGCCTAACATCAAGTGCAACATGTGCAATAGCTGAAAACAAAATATATCTGAATAATATATAATGCGAGAATATGAAACAAGGAAATGAGTAACTCACACTCCAGAGCCCATTTATTGATTTCGTTAATGAAATCGTCAGGAACCTCGTCTTTGTAATCCTTTATCATCCTAATCCTAGAGATAAATACGAAGTCAATAATTAAGTGAGATTTTTTAATAGAAATGAGATGTGCAAAAAAATGAAGTGCAATACGGTCTAATTACCTTTTCAAGAATGCAATACTTGCTTCTTCGATGTTACCAATATACATGTTGGCTATTCGGGGTTGGAGCATAACTTGCTGTACCTTAGTGCGAAATTGGTACCAACCTTCGCCATGACTGAATAACAATAATTAACAAGTTAAAATTAGCTCTTTCTCCTGTGTTCATTCAATTTTCCAATTGTGCATTCATCAATGTGGAGGCATCCAATTTCTATGTAACGATTTGAAATGTCTGTTCACTGATGCTCATACATGACTCAGATAGATAGAATTAAAGGCCAAACAATCACACATCTTTTTGTAATCATCTAATTTATTTATATATTTATTCCATGAGCCTTCAAATGAGTATATGATATATTACCAAAAATTTTCCAAGAACCTGTTTAGAATTAAACGAAACTCTATTGGGTTACCATCAAAATTAATATCGGAAATTTGCGGCAACGATCGTGACCCGTCGGTCATCAGTCAAATCCTTCGAGAGCAAAATCAACCCCTCCCCCCCCCCCCGCCTCCAAATCTCTTTTAGTTGATCGATGGAGTCGGCACCACCATAAATAACTGTTCCCTCACCAAACATACATAACTATACATGACTTGGGGGATTCCTCTCCTCCCGGTGAATCTCTTGAATGTCGCGATGAGTGCGTCAGTGCTTTGAGGGGATACCAGCTCCAGGTGGACTGCTGATGTACTTAGGCAGACGAAGACTGCGATGTGCACCGCGGCTGGTTGAGCATTTGTTGGACTCCACTTGAGTACAGGCATTCGACCAGCATAATCCACCCCTGTGTGGAAAAATGCTCTCGATGGTGAGACTTTTGCTGCGGGAAGTTGTCCCATCAGCTGTTGAGCCCATTGAGCTCGATATTTTGTACAGATGACACAGTGCAGAATGTGAGATCGAACTGTGTCTCTGCCACCAATTATCCAGTATTTTTGGCCCGCGAGTTGAGTTCCTCCGTGGAGGATTCTTCGGTGAGCTTCGTCGATGATCAGTGTGGTAAGATGTGAATGACGAGGCAGAATAATTGGTTGAATCGCATTAGCGTCTAGTTCAGTATTTCTGAGCCGTCCTCCAATTCTCATAATTCCTAGTTCGTCTAGGATATGAGTCAGCTTGGCTAGCGTATTTCCCATTGGTAGTGGATGGTCTCTCCTGAGGATTCTGATTGCTGATGCAAAGAACTGTTGTTGTATTAATTTTAGGTGCTGTTTCGACTGCTGCTGGGAAGCGATGACTTTCATGCTTCACCAGTTGTTGAAGGACTCTTAGTCATATCCATGGTGAACCGTTGAGCCCATAGGTAACTGTGGTCAGTTGATAGAAAATCTGTTCGTTTTCTTCGGTGAGCCGCAAAATGCGTTATTGACGTGTTTCTTTGAGCCTCGAGTCGCCGAGGGCTGTTGGTGAGGTTTTCAGGGGGAGCCTCACAACGCAGCTCCCCGTTTCGTCTCTGGAGTGCGTCGATGTCAAGTGCATCTCGCGCTGGTGATCCTCTGGTGATAACTCATGGCACTTCGTTGATTTGTTGATTTCTGGACCCAGAAATTTTGGAGAAGCTCGAGTGGCTCTTCGTTTGCGGGATTCCGTACTGCAGTTGAGGAGATTCTCGGTGAACAGTCCTGACAGTTGATTGGAGCTGATATTATGCACCCAAATGCTGCTTGTTGGCCAACTAGTTGAGTTGATGTTGATTTGATAACTTTTTCTTTGATGATCCGCCCATAGTTGTCTGATCCGATAATGATGTGGATCGGCCCAGACTTTAGATAATCTGGATCATGAGAATGATGGTAGTCCTGTGGTGAGTTTCTTCAAAATGTGTGCGGTGATTACAACATGTTCATTTCCGATATTAGGTTGAAGAACGACTGACACCACTCCTTTCGTGGTCCCTGAATGTGTTCCACCGATTCCGATTAGTTCGAGCGCTGAATGTGCTCGTTTCAGGTGGAGTTGATGGAATAGATTGTCAGTGATGAACGATATTTTCCAGCCCTGATCCATTAGTATGGCGTCCATCAGGTATCCTCGTGGTGATGCTTCTTTTACTAGTACCGCTGCTAGCAGCAGTAATGGTTGATCTGGATGTTGTTGATTGCTGTTGATGTCTGGCGATTGTTGATTCTCGGTGATTTTCTCTTGCGCACTGATCCGCTGGCTGTTGAGATTCACTGTTGCAGTTGATCTCTGCTGTTGAGTTGATTCTTCGACTTGACTGAGGGAGGCATAAATCCCCTCAGTGGTTGTTGAATCCGTTGATCTTGTTGATCCGTGTGCTGTTGGTGATACGGATTAGTAAGACAGAGGGCGAGTTGTGAATGTATGATTGAAATTCCCTCACACGATTTCTCTGCTGTTGATGTGGACAATGATGCAACCAGGGTCAGCCTCTCCAGTTTCCCAACGTCTTCCATCGGGTCCACGTGTCCTCCGTGGATCACAATGTGGTGCCGTTTTTCCTGTCCGACGGCCTTGCACTTGTAGCACGTTTTCAGGCAGGTGCACTTGCTCTGTAGGTGAGGTCCCAAGCAATTGTAACGTTGTTAAACAGCGTTTGAGCGATGAGTCGTTGGTCCTTGTATTTCTTTACGAGTTTCGTCCACGTCTTGTCGTAATTTTTTTCCGTGATGCTGAACGTTGAGATGAGTGCTGCAGCGGATCCTTTCCGAAGGCCCTTGAGGCGAACCAGCTTCTGCACTCCTGGCATGTTGGGGTCACTCCTCACCATCAAAAGATACAGATCACTACGGTTTTTCCACTCCGAGTATCGGCCATCGAATGTGTTGAGTTCGATTCTCTTCAATTGGTTGCCCGATTGTTGAGCTAGTTGAGCAGGAGGAGTTGATTTCTCGGCGAGTTTCCTTTTCTTGGTGAGGCTCTCGAGCAGGTAGATGAGCGCTATGCTCGCTGTTTTCAGCTCTTCTGCTCCTTCGTGGAGGCTGCTTGCAAAAAATTCATGATCATTCGGTAAAAATTCAATTACTGTTCCCTTCAGTTTCTGGAACTCGCTCGAGTGGATGTTGATTATTAGCTCCTGCCCCTCGAGTTCATCTATAGTTAATGAACCGATGTTGTTCGCCAGGTTCTTGCTGATGTCCTTGATGCTGTCCACCTTGCGTAGGAGGCGTCGTGTCTGACACTCCTCTGTTTTAATCAGAGGAGCAGACATGTCTGCCGAGCTCTCTCGAGTTTAATAATAATAATAATACGTTCAATATAAGTCATTTGAATTCAAATGTCGAAAACTTTCAATAAAATTACCAAGTTGGAGAAAGACAACTATGATACTTGGGAAATAGATGTCAAAGCTTCATTCGTGAATTCGAGCGTTGAGGTTATGTTAGTGGCAGAATTAAAAAGCCCAGTTCAGGAGTACAGGTTGTCGTGGAATAATTTTTTCATTTTTTTTTCTGAAAAAAGACTGATGAGAAAATGTAGAAATTCATCTGTGACTTGGACAAAGCTGTCGACCAGTTAAGAGGGTAATAACCTTGAGATATAACATTTCAGAAGTTCGGGTAGTCAAGATAAAAATTTTGGAAGACTTCGAGTGGTACAAATCGTTGGTTATTGAGAAATGTAACAATTCGCTAACAAATGTAATTCGTCTGTAAATTATAGGTTAGTCAAAACGTTTAGAATATAAACTAGGACTCCCGACCACGAGTTCAGGGTCCCCTCCTGAACACTAGAAAAATAGGAAAAAAAAATTTACTCGACCCATTTTAAATGGTTAAAAATGAACGAGGGCCAATGAGAGGGCTGAGTTACGGCGCGTAAGTGTGAGTGGTAGAAGTCGACTGAGATATGACAACGGCGCGTGAGAGACGTCGGAAAATGAGAGAGGTACTTGAGTACCACTGCTCTGCCGTGAATTTCGGGCCGACACGCATGTAGCATAAAGTAACAACATGCGTGGGCCGTGTTTAAAATCCTCTATGTATTGCTGTTAAGAATTTCTGAAGAATTTTTTAGTTTTTTAAGGGGGATTCCTCAAGAATTCCTTACGATTTTCAGAGGGATTCCTCGGGATTAAAGGATCTGCAAATCCCTAAGGAATTTATCTGCAAATTCCTGATGAGTTACTTTGGAAATCTTAAGGAATCATTCTGAAATCCATAAGGGATCTCTCTAGAATTCCTAAGGAATCATGCTGAAATTCCTAAGGAATCCCTCTGGAATCATTAAGGAATTCCTCTGGAATCATTAAGGAATCCCTCTGGAATAATCATAACCGGTAACTATCGAAAGAAACATTATTTTTATGGTTGGATTTGACAGTTAGGAAGACCTATGCATGTTGTAATTCTATGCTACATGCGTGTCGGTAACATGGAGTATGGTACTGGACTACCTCTCTCATGTCTCGACGTCTCTCACACGCTGTTGTCATATCTCAGTCGACTTCTACCACTCACACTTAAGCGCCATAACTCTCATTGGCCCTCTCATTGGCCCTCGTTAATTTTTAATTATGTAAAATTGGTGGAGTAAATCTTTATTTATTTTTTATTTATTTATTTTTTTTTTTTATTTTTACATTTTTCTTTTTCCTATTACCATCGTTTTCATGGTTTGATAGGCACCCCTTCGTCTTAGCCTCTAGCCTCTTCTACTATCCTCACATTAGCCTCTCCTACTATCCTCTCATTATTTTTGCGGTGTCATGGGCCGACTTTCCGTACTGCGCCCATTTGGCTTGTACTGAGGGAAATCATGGAAAACCTCAGTAGCGCAGCCGGCCGGTAATGCGAAGATTCTGCTGTCTTCATCAGTCACACTGACTCGGTGAACACAGCAGCTCTCTACAAGGGGTGTGACTAACCGGGCACCCATCCAAGTACTAACCCAACTGAGCGTTACTTAGCCTAGATGACCGCCGGAGTTACACACCACCCGCGTGGCTATTGTCACCGCTTGGTGGAGTAAATTTTTTTTTCCTATTTTTCTAATGTTCAAGAGGGGTCCCTGAACTCGTGGTCGGGAGGTATTACACTTATTATGTTACACCCTGTATAAACGTTTCATAAATCAAGGAAATAAGCTTTCTTAAGCTCAATCGTTGATCCATCAGTCACGTGGCAGTAATGGATGATCAGGTCGGTCAGATTCGAAAGTTATGTGCTTTAGATGTCATCGTCCAGGCATTCAGCAAAATTTTGTCGTTTTAGCTTCCCCGTTTCCCGAACAGCGCACCAGTCTTTGTCAGACGACGATATTCATAGTCAGGCAGATCTGGCTGAGGAAATCGCATTCTTCAATGTAACTTCTGCATCTAGAAGTGCACCCCCTTTGGTGTTTGAACAGTGGATGCAGTCGATGTTTGCGGTTCATTTTATACACCCTCAGTCTCAGGAGCTCGTTATTGTGTTGTTTTCATTGATGAACGATCAAGAGGGTGCAGCGTGGATCTTATCAAACAAAAGTCATAGCTTTTCAAATCGTTCAAAATTTTAAAGTGCCAGTGAAGAAGAAAAAATATCAAATAGGTATAATCTGATAATCGATAAGAGTTTTGCAATTCTCAGTTCGATCAATTCCTACGAGAGGAAGATATTCAACGCAAACTGACCGCTCCGTATACGCCACAGTAGAACGGCATTGCAAAGAGAATCAGTTCAATGTTCCAGTTCGTTACTGGGCTGAAGCAATCACCATTGTTTGTCATATTGGAAATAGATATTCTTCTAGTGCTCTAAGTGAGAAACGTCATACAAGATCTGAATAGGGAAGAAACCGACGCTCTCGTATATGAAGTTATTAGGGTCCAAGTTTTCTATACTTGCGAAAAATCAAGAGTCAACTGTCTTCGAACGGATTGAAGTGTATCTTCATGGGATATTCCAATGTCTCAAAAGTGTATCATCTCTGGTATCCGGAGCAGCAGAAGATTCTAATCAACAGGGATGTTAGATTTTTAGAAACGCCTGGATTCGGAAGGGGAGGTGAAAGTTTCGAATCCAAGGATTTGTTAGATACTCGAAAAATTTATAAATCGAATATGTGATGGTCATAGCAGAGTTCAGTCTGCACACTAACATCAGCGCAGCATGATCAGTTGACAAACAGAAGTGGACGGCGTAGAGTTCGTCCTGCATTGCTACGCACTGGTTTTCATGGTAGACCGAAGAGGATTTTTCGTTGTCCTGATGCCACATCAGGAAATGAAGCGCAAGCTCGACAATTGGGTGATGATTCTGATGATAGTCAACATTTGTCTGATTGTCAAAACGAGATATTTGTTGGGTTTGGATCAGTAACAGTTCCCATAACTTGATGTCAGACAGAATAGACTTTCGTTACTGGAAGGCAGCACTTGAAGATGAGTATATATCCTTGATTAACAATTAAGTATGAATATTCGACAAAAAATATAAAAATCGTCTACTCTTTAGAACGGGTTTCATTAAAAAAAGGAGAGTTCGACTATTTGCTAAGGGTTGCTCTCAACCTCCTGAGATTTATTTCAGTTGAAACGTCATGACCAGATGGAAGTCGTGACAGCTTACCTGAACGGATTTCTGCAGGATGGGATTTATATGCAACTACCAGTTCAGTTGCTGGAAGTGTCGAAAAAAGTGATTCATACCATATTCGTTGGATCGAAAGGCGAGATTATCACTGATGAGAAAATATTGGAAATGACTAGAATTTGGATGAAGGTACTATTAAAAGATCAAGGCAACGCTGTATGCTTATTGAGAAAGACTCTTTGTGGCTTGAAACAAGCTGGTGTGCAATGGTATACGAAGCTGGTAGATGAGCTATTCGAATTGAATTTAAATTCAACGATATTTGACCCATGTTTATTCTATCGCAGACATGAAGAATCTGTCATTCTTCTCGCTGTCTATGTGGACGATATACTTAATTAACGTAATTAGCGCGAATAATGACTTTTCTATTAACAGCATTAAAACCGCTTTGTCGCAACTCTTTTGGATGAAGGATCTTGTTATTGACAGTCATTGCTTAGGAGTAAGTTTTTATCAGAAAAAGAAGAACCATAAAGTATACCTGTGTTAGCAGAATTATATTCACGAGCTTCTGGAAAAATTCAATATGTCCGAAGGCAAGTCGATATCGACAGCCGTGGAGGAGAAGGTCATTTTGGTTCGTTCTGAGAGTCCGGATCTTGTTGTAATAGGAAGATTTCCTTATCAACGTCTAATCAGGAGTGTGCTATACTGAGCAGTTATTACTTCAGTTCAATTGGAATTCCGACGAATCTCATTGGATCGCCGCAAAGAGAATTCTACGGTATTTGAAAGGTACCCCGAACTATTGTATCGTTTACGGGAAAACGGAGGATTGGGCCGCTAGTATTGTTCATCGTTGAGAAAACACCAGATTGTTGCACTATCCCGCGCAGGAGCAGAATATATGGCACTCTCAGATGCCGTTAGAGAGGTCATATATTTGTTATCACCTCTCTAATTGTAATATATAATTTTGAATCGACAGTGGTATTTAATGACAGTCAAAGTGCTCAAAAAATCCTAAAAACTCTGATAATGTCAGCTAGAAAAAAAAACATAGTAACATAGTAGTAAACAGAAAGTAATTTATATAATATAAATATATAATATATAATTATAAAATATTTATATAATCTGAATTATCGACTAACATTCTCACGGATACGGTTAATTCAAATTGTAATTTCTGGTATATAGGCTTTAGTGTGTATCTTATCATCTATTTTTTATGAAGCAATTATTATAATATAGTAATCGACTTTTCCTGATAAATGGATAAGGCTTTAATCATATCCTGAAGTAACAAAGTTTCTTTCGCCAAAGGAGGTATTTAGTAATTGCTCGATATAGAATAGGGTATTCCTGATAGGTCTCGCTTTTTTTTTTCAACACATACCGGAAAAGACGCGCGTGAAACGCGCAGCAATACCTACACTGAGAGACATTTTTGATGACTTAATTTTGATGATTTAAATTTTGATGACATCCAGGTAAAAATTTTCCAAATGGAAGGGTAATTCCGTAGCAGTATATTTCTGCATTAATAAGTATCCGTGGTGTGAATGATCTTCAATTAACGATTCCGGATGATATTTGTTCTTATGGGAGAAAAAATTGCCACTATGGACGAATAAAAATTATTACATATCTTTGTAATTTTTACCAACACCCCGATAAAAATTCCTATTTCGAAACGGTGAAAATACTTTGTTGCCTAATTCATTTGCCATGAATAGCATGATAAAAATTGAAGTCTCCCAGTCGTTGGGATAAATTTCGTCGTGCTGACATCATGGAGGCGGGGCTATGAGAGTGGAAGGTTCTCTATTTTGCTTCTATCTTGCATATATTTTATTAAAGGAAGAGATGGATAAACATTGCTATAGACTGATCACCGTTTTACTGCTAGATTCTATTATTCGGAAGGCTAAAAAGGGTCTCTCGCATCTGGATAATTTTTGATGCGCAATATGCACAATATTTACTAGAATTGGATGAACAAAAATTATGGGAATCACAATAAACTTTTATTATTCATACCGATAATTTTTACCTTTGTCTATGTAAATTTTAATAAATGTACAGACAATTTGTCCTCTGTCGTGTGGAAAGTATCAATGGGAAGGTAAAATTTATTTCACGCATGATAAAGTTTGTTATTTAAGAAAATTGTTTGTTGAACTTGCCGATAGAAATCCGATGAAAGACTTCAGTCACACACGTTTATCGTTTTGGAATGGTAATTTTCACCCAAAATTTCTCTCAGTGCAGTTAGATGAACATTTTGGTGGTGAAATTCGCTCGTAGGCTATATTGCGCTGTGACTTTCTGACTTGGCGACCCATACGATGTGTGATTGACGCGTGAGTAGCTGAAACGTGACTTTGAATTTTAATGAACTTACGTAGCGATCACTCCAGAGCAGGCGTTAGTGAAGAAATCTTTCCTGAGGACATGCTTGTAATAATTTAGAGACGACATTGAAGGACGATAGGGCATTTTTTCTTCTTGCTTGAAAATTCGTTTTATCTCATTAGCATCATAGAGGAACACCATGTCTGGACGGCCCATCAGTCCACTGACCTTCACAATGTCTCCATAATCACGATATAGACGGCTTGATACTTTGTCGATTTCTTGAATGTTGAAGTCGCCTAACGAACAGTAGAGGATATTTTTGAATGATAATGAAATCATCATATTCTCTAAAACTTAAAAAAACTCACACAGCAATGGAGTACATACCCCCGACAAAAATCAATGTCATTTCACGATTTTGAAAATTTAAAAATACAGTTTTTGAAATGCTTAACTTGGGGTTTCCAAAAAGTGAATTTAAGATTTGGAATCTTTACAAGACTTCTGGTGGTAAAAACTTGAGATATCAGAAAGATTTATTTGAATCTTTGAAAGTTTTAACTTAAGACATTCAATAGTAATTAATGTCATAAGTGTTTCAGGCCACATGACATTTTTTTTTCTTTGTCACGCACACCAATCAAGCGAGTTCCACACATGCCTAGAACTGTAAGTAGCATATAATAGGCCTAGGCCTCCGGTCGGTCGAGATGATACTGTTACACGATGCGTCTCCAGGTGGCACATAGGGCCGGTCGACCACGCAGGGAAAGAAGGGTAGAGCGCAATGGCACAATTTCCGTGGACCAAACACACATTTCCAAACACGATGGAAATAGATGTGATCAAGCCAACTACGTTTACAGTGGATGGGAGGGATAACCAATTACGGATGTCTGAGACTACGACTCATGTGTCTTCGACCAGCTACTGCAGCTCCATGGAATTTCACTAGTTGGCCTTCGTGGCCCCCAAAGCGTCAAGTAAAAACACGAATAGGGAGAAGGCTTCAACGCTGGCGGACTGCTTCGTCTTCGTTGCAGTAAAGGTAGAATCCCTACAAACGCAGCATATATACAGTGGAAGGAGGCATTCACCCAGTTGGATTGTCATATCTTTGGGCCTCATGATATCATCCAGCCGATGACGAATGTTCAACGGGCGATCAAGTTACAGCTGACATCAATCGGCGGTGTCTTCCGAAGGTTGAAAGATCTCCAAGCGGAACAGCCGAGGATCCAGCACGCAGTGGTCGAGTTGGCCTGGGCAACAGCGTTTTTGTTGAACCCGCGCCAACCGATGGATCACTAGTAAAGACACGTACATTGAAGCAGGTCATAAAATCCGCAAAGGACTGTGGAGGAAACGGCCTAAAGACTCATCTGGGACGGTGAACGAGGCGTGAAAGAAAGTCAAAGAGCAGACGTCAGCTAGATGGGGAGCTTAAACTCCCAGACCGCCCGATGAGCCCACCACCCAGCCAGATTGGGAACCGGTCACGGGTAAGAAAAAGATGGAAAAGACTAAAACTGAAGAGAGAGAAAAGTAGAAAGGGAAGGGGGAGTAACAGAAACCACACGTGAGACGTGATAGCGAGTCCCGTGGAAGAAAAACGGTACTGCGACATCCTTCGCCAAGGGAAGAAGAAAGTCCCTCAGAAGCAGGCTGATTACGTCCAGAACATGCGTCAAACAGCAATGGGGGAGATGCTGCTCACTCTGAGGTGGAAGACAACGGGCGCGGTGCCCCAACTCTGCAAGACTGATCGCCGATCTTCTCAGGAAAGATGCGAGAGTCAAAAACAAGTGACCTTAGGAAGACCTGGAGATTAGTAATCACGAGGTCATCAAGAGAGAAAAAGTAGAGGCGGTACGGTACGGACTGTCGCCGGAGATGATTTCAAAACTGACTCCGGGATAGTCAAGGTCGTCCAATTGACTGGGCTAACTACCGAATCGTTAGCGTGGCAAGGCCAACCAAGTGCTTTAGGTGCTGGCCTTAAGACCACCTCGCTACCGAACGCACGAGCGAGGTCGACAGATCCACGCTCTGCGTTAAGTGCGTCGAACCTGGCCACAAGGTGGTAAAATTTAGTCGCTCAAGTGTGCACTCTACAGTGCGGCACCGGAGTGAAGGAGGACATCACTGGTCGCAGCAAGTGGTCAGCATTCAAGGAGGCGCTCGACAAGTTTACAAGCAACAGACGATGGGGACATTCCAGACAAACCTCAGCCATTGCGAAGTCGCACACGACCTCCTCAGACCCACAGTGCGGGAGGAGGAAGCAGATCTAGTAGGCATATCGGATTCATACCCTTATCTTAAGAATCAAGGCTGCTTGTGGGGGGGAGTCCATTAGAAGCTCAAACGAGAATAAAGAGTATGATTTCGTACGGACCGAAGTAATTGAGATTTACCTCCATAACGGATATCCCTTACCGAGCCTCTCGATCGAGGGCTTCAGTGTTTTTTTTTGTTTGGCTCACTGAGGACGCGAAGCAGTACTCTCTCATTGCTATTGTGTGAGGCTTTAACGCCTAGGCAGTCGGCTGGGAAAGTAGGAAGACAAGTCCCAAAAGGCAAGCTGTGCTGGAGGTGATGACATCATTGGTCCGGGTTTTACTTTACCGTGGCAAGGAACCAACGCATGTAAACGAGGGAGTAAGCTTCATCGTGCATCTTAGCTTCGTGAGTAGCATCCTAGCAAGGGAGAAACCCTTATGGGAAGTAAGTGAAACACACATGGCAAGTGATCATCGTGCCGTACATTATATTACATCAACCGAGCGCAGAAGGGTTGCAGTTGCGGGGGGGGGGATACCAACGAGGGACGACGCCAGCAGTAATAATAATTGGCACTAGATGAGTGGTAATCATCATTAGTAGCACTAGATGAGATGTCATAACGCAGCGAGCTCGGATGGAGCCGAATTTTACGACTCTGAAAGACGAGAGTGCACACCGCAGGCTCGGCAAGGCTTTCAAACACAGTACAACCCTTACGTGGAGGCAGCTAGTACCTCAGGTGATGAACCATCCATAGGGCAGACCGTATTCGGTGGTAATGGCGTGGCTCAAATACCAATCTATGCCATCGGCGACGTATCCTGCCCGATTGGCGGGGATCATCTCTGCACTCCTCCTGCAGACCGACTTGCAGCGGCCAAGCTGTCCATGAAGGACAGTCATAGTTCATACCACCGGTATCCAAGGAGGAACTGATGGAGTCATGCAACCTAGTTAAAAACTCCAAGGCCTCTAGTCTTGATAGAGGCCCGAATATCGTGTTAAAAGCCGCCATTCAGATTTTGCTAGACTATTTGTAGAGGCCTGCAGAGAGTGTCTCAGCGAGGGCACCTTCCATGCGATGTGGAACAATCAAAGGCTTATACTGCTTCCAAGCGGGCGACACCGTCAAATAAATCCTTTAAGGATTAAGGGTTAAGGGGACATCAGTTTCTGGCCTGAGCCAAACATTTCCCTCGGTCAGCGGCGGCGAAGGGGTACCAACGGGGCAAGGGGGCTCAAGCTTTGCAATGATGAGGCAGGCCTGGCCTTGTCAGGTCTCGCTTCTGCGGTCTGCGCACGGGTTCCAAGGGACTCTCATTTGCGCCCGGGCAAGTGCCTCTTAGTAGAACCAGGGCCTCGACGGCATGCGAATCACGTCAAGCAGACCGAAGGAAAACCTCACTTTGATCACAGAAGGGCGCTCCGATGGCTTGTAAGCGCGAATGCGCCGAAAAAGATGACGACATGCAGTGGGGCGGCAAAACCTCACGGCTCGACCGATCCTCCCAAATTAACTTGCAGTACGGGTGAGCCTAGCAGCAGAGCACAAAGATATATGCCTATTTTAGGAGCACTGGTGCTACGAGGGTTCTGTAAGGGGCTTTAAAATTAGTAGGAACTGTTCTTTGTCCGGGGTTCCTCGGACCTAGGGCCTGCATCGCTGTTGGGAGAGCATGGTGTTGGCCAATCAACCCGACGCGATTGCCGAGCACGAGTCATCTCACCTGGCTATTGGTCCCTATTCTATGTCGACAGACGCATTGGAGCTGCCTACTTGGACGGCCTATACGTCGGCCTCAATACTCTCTACCACAAGCTCCAACTAAGGGACAGTTTATTAACGTCCTCAGGGCAGACAGGGGTCACCGTTTCCACCTAAATCGCTATGCCTTTGGCCCCTCATTGGAGGAAAGTCTAACATGTCATGCAGTCGAGGCCTTCTGGGCCTGTGCTAGATGGCTTTTCGTCCCCCACTCGCCATGCAACAAAGTTTCTTGCGGTTATGAAGAATTCTCATCCACGATGAGAAAAATGTCGTTACAACAGACATAGTAGAGGACGAAGTGGACAGAATTTACTGGGCTTCGATCGAGTCCGTCCAAGGACATGTGCGATGATGTCGTTCGGGGAGGGGAGGAAAGTTAAATGGTGGAATCGGGAACTCAAGAGGCTGTGTGGCCTGACCAGAGAATTCTGGAGGAGAGCTTTTCGGACTTGAAAGAATAACCCCTAGACTCGGTACAGATAAGTACAGGGAGAGTATAAAAATTCCATCAAGAAGTCGAAAGAATCAATATGAGTTTGTTTGGTGAGTCGGATGTACTACCACAGGTTGCTAGGCTCCGCAGGATAGAATGCCACTATCTAGTGGTGTAGCTGTCACCTTGGAGGATGAGATTCTGGAACAACTCATACGGATGCACTTCCCTGACTGAGTTATACATGGAAGGGTCATGGGCGCCGGATTGAGTCGAGTGCATTCAGTAGGGTGGTATCGAGTGTGACCCGGCTTCGAAAATGGTGAATGCGAGCAGTGGGCGGTGGCTTCCTTTGAAATATTCAAGAGTCCCAGCCCTGCTGGGGTATACCCGGCTTTTTTGCAGAAGGACCATTCCCTACTACTGCGCCGGCTACTACCAACATTAACAACATACCTAACTCTAGGATATGTGCCAGGAAGATGGAAGCCAGGATGGTATTCATTCCTAAAGGGGGTAAGTGCAGCTATGCCAACACCAAAGTGTAAAGACCCATCAGCCTAAACTATTTCCTGCTGAAGACGCTGGAGAGGCTCGTCGATAGATATATCAACAAGGGAGTGCTGAATGGTACAACTCTCATGATCCCAGGACAACCCCAAGCAAGGCGGATATGGTGCTTTTCACCAATAAGAGATATGTCGTAAGACCCCCCTCTATTTACGGTATAGAACTGAGCTTTTCTAAGGAAGTAGCATACCTAAGAATATGCGCCTAATCGGGCGGGAAGAGGGATCTGCTCTGAGGAA